CGGGCGGCGGTGGGCCTCCCCTGCTCCGCATCCGAGTCCCGAGCAACAAATAGGCCAGAGGGCGCGCTGCAAACGGAGCAGGCGAGCGTCTGGGGCGTGGGCTGGCAGGATTAGCAGCGGCGGGGACTGACCGGTAGGTGGGTTGGTGCCCTCCCACACCATCCTGCCGCCCCGAGCTAGACGGCCGCTGGCTACTGAAGGCACTCCCCTGCTGCCGCTGGCGGAGCTCGTAGACCTTTCACAACGTTACTGCGAGTTCTGATGGGCGAGGGGGCGTGCCCGCGAGCGCCGGATCGGCCCAGGGAGTCAGGTTATGGCGCCCTGGCCCGCGAGGAAAGGCCAAGGAAGAATGGCCGTGTTTCGGGCCGGGCGCATCGATCTGGTCGTGCTGAACGGTACAATATGATTGAGTGAATCGATTGTCGCCCACAGCGCATCATGGGCCTCCTGTCGCCTCGCCGCAGGAGCGGGAGCGCTGCAGGCAGCGAGGATGGCAGCACGAACAAGCTTGCAACCCTGGAGCGCAATTGGAGGCGCGTGGCATCCACGCACACCCTGCAGGTGCGCTGGGCGGCGGCCGTTCGTCGAAACAGCAGGCGGGGACAGGCGGGTAGGAGCTCCTGCCTCGTCTGAGAAGGCACCTGCTGCCGAGCTCCCAGACCCCTTTACCTTGGCTCCGCGCCTTGCAGGATCTCATGGACGCAGATGATCCAGCCAAGCAGCGCCAGGGCGCAGACCTCAAGCTGCTGGCCCTGGGGTGAGGCGCCCGTGTGGCTGCACGCCGCCTGGTATCGGCGCCGTGCTGTGGACTCGCGCTGCCTGCCGCCTTGCCCCAACAGGAAGCGATTACCAACTGCCCTGGAGCTCTGCTACAGGGTGCTACTGATACTCATCGGTGCCGTCAGCCTCGCCCTGGGCGTCTTTGCCATCGTGGTGAGTTGCGGCGAAGGCGTGGCTGCTCGCCAGGCATTCATAGACCGGGCCTGGCACTGCGCACTCACAAATGGAATACGGTGGAGGCCCCCCCTGCATGCCCAGCACGTGCCCATGCCTCTCATCCCTCGCCTGCAGGTGGCGCCGCTGCTGCCGCCGCTGGCGCACCCGTGGCTGGCGTCGGTGCAGCGCGACCGCTACTACCAGCTGCTGCTGCCGCTCACCGTGCCCGTCACCATCGCCGCCATCACCCTCAACTGGTTCTCCATGAAGCTGTTCAAGCACAACAGCTGACGGTCTGTGGTTTGGCCTCTGTCCAGGGCTGTGGCCTGGGCATCGAGCAAGCTGCCAGCGATGGCTTGCATTCAACCTTGGGCACTATTTCAACCCCGCAAGCCGCACGCCCATGCAAGCGAACTACTAAACGCCGACAGGCAAGGGCGCGGGGAAGCCCCTGGTGCTCCGACTGGGCGCAAGCTGGCGCAAAATGCTGGACTGCTGGCCGCTTTGCGACGCACGCCTTGTTCTTCTGCAGATCCTGCCCACTTCAGAGACCTGGAAATCAGCGGCACTGACCGAGCCGAGCGCCCGCGCCAGCCGCCCGCCGCCGCTCATGCGGTGCTTTCTTGTTCACTGCTTGCATGCACCAAGGCACGCTGCTGTGGCCTGCAGCCTCCAGTTTTGTAAGCACAGTCCTGAGTGAGTGTCAGGCTCGAGCCCAGCGATTGGCTGAGCACTGCCCAGGTCGCAGTGGGGCTCAGCCTCTTGCTCCTCGCACACAGCTCGTTCGTCTGGGCACCCAGAAGCCAGCAATCAGTGCATCAGTCGTTGCGAGCACCGCAGAGGACCTGGGAAACGAAGGCAGCACCAGCAGCTCTGGCTCTCACACCCACAGGGCTCGCCTGTGCACTGCTGGGTGTGTTTGGGCCGCCAGCAGTCGCTCTGCATCGCAGAGGCAGGGCCACAGGCCCTGTGCAGCCGGCAGGAGGCAGCGCCGGGTTGAACGGAGAAGGGCCAGGAGCAGCGCCCGCCGCCCGCTTGCAACCAGTCGGACGCCGGCCCACATGCTGCGCCTCCCCCCTGCTTGCAGGCCATGGAAGGCCTCCAGCCAGCGCTGCACATCCGGAGCGGCAGCGCCGCTGCAGCGGCCGCGCCCGCCGCCGCCGCCGCCGCCCCCCCCCCCCCACCGCCGTCTGCCACTCCCAAGGCTGCCGACTGGCGGCCCAGCATGGCAAAGCCTGCTGGCGCAGCGCTGCCAGCCTGGCCCCTCAGCGGTGGCAGCGCCGCTGATGGCGGCAGCCTGTTCAGCCCAGACCTGCGCTGCATGCTGGCCAGCCCGGCAGGCGCTGCGCGCGGGGCCCCGGGCAGCGGCAGCGCCGCCGCCGCAGGCGCCGCCTTGCTGGAAGGCTTCCCCACGACTGCCGGCAGCCCCCGGAAGGGTCCGGTGCCTGGTAAGGGGCGCCTGCCGGTGCCTGCCAGCGCCTGCGGCGCTTACTGCTCGTGCAGTGCACACAGAGGCTGATCACCCTGCAGTGGTCTCCACCTGAGCCCGCTCTTTGTCTCTCGCCTCACCCAGCAGACAGTGGGCGCCTGGTGCTGTCCTCCCCAGCACCCACCGCCATCGGCAGCCTGCTGGCCTCCCCAGACTTCCGCTGCACCTTTGCAGCGCCCACCAGCGCCACGGCCGCCGCGGGGCTGGCATCGGCAGCCGCGGCAGGCGCCGGCGCGGCCGCGCGCGCGCAGCCTTTCCACCTCCCCTCGGCGCCCGGCAGCGCGGCTGGCGCCTCTGGCGCCCGTCCACGCTGGCCATCTGCGCTGAAGCAGGCGCAGCCGCTGGCGCTGCCGGCGCAGCTGCAGGCACGGTTCACCTGGGCTGCCCTGCCCCCTCCAGCAGCGGCTGGTGCCATCCCAGGCAAGCTCACTGGGCTCGCCTCAAAGGGGAGTGCCTCCCCACCTCCCCACCTCCCGCACCACCTCCGACACCGCTGCCCTGAGCTGCAGCCAGGCGCCTTTCAGCCGCACCGACACCACCTGCCTGCCTGCTGGGCTGCCCTGCAGGCGCTCAGATCCTGGCCTCCGCCGCTGCCGCCGTCGCCAACAACCCGGCTGCTGCTGCCGCTGTGGCCCTCATCGCGCCCGCACCCCTGAAAGGCTTTGTGCCTGTGAAGGCGCCTGTACCCAGCGGCATAAACGACCACAGCGGCAGCGGCACGCGCGGCGCGCGCCGGCAGCCCAGCCGCCCCCGAGGCCGCAAGGCCGCCGCGCCTGGCGACGCCGCTCCTGCCGAGCAGGCTGGGGCCGAGGGGGCAGAGGGCCGGGAGGACGATCCCGGCTCGCACCCGCCGCAGCTTGCGGCGGCCGGCAGCGGCGGGGCCAGCTGCTCACTCCTGGACGGCATGGCTCACGCACCCTGGGCCTCCCCTCCAGGTGAGGCCGCCCGCCTGTGCCCGCCCGCCCAGCTGCCTGGTCCGCTGCTCTGCTCTGCTCTGCTCTGCTCTGCTCTGCTCTGCTCAGCTCTGCTGCCTGCCAGGGGTACTGCAGGCACTGGTACTGCCGATACTGGGCCCCACACGCCTCCCTTCACGTCGTCCCTCGCTCCTTGCACCCTCACCTGATGCCTCACGTGGCTGCAGGGCTGGGACAGAGCTTGTCACTGGGCCCCTCCTTTGGCCTACCGCCAGACCAAGCCAGGATGCTGGCGCCGCTGCTGGCGCTGAGCCCCGGCATGCCGTCCTCGCTGCCGTCAGGCCCTGAGCCGCAGAAGGAGCAGGAGCAGGAGGGGCAGGAGCGTGGCACAGCTTCCCTGTCGCTAAGGCCCAGGCGCCGCCGCTCCGAGTCTGCCGCACCGACCCCGGCCGCGCCGACCTCTGTCATCCAGCCTGCCACCGCCTCTGCTTTCCAGGCCGTCCAGCCGCAGTCGATGCAGGTGCAGCAGCCGGCGCAGGCAGCTGCTGCCGCTCCCAAGGTCAGGAGGGGCAAGCAGCGTGCAATGCAGGGCCCCCAGGCCGCGGCAGCAGCGGCGGCGGGCCGGGGCGCCAAGCGGGCTGCCGCGGAGCCTCCCGCCGCTGCCGCTGCTGCCAGGGGCAAGCGAGCCAGGGCGGCGGCGGCGCCGGTGGCGGCGCCGGCACCTCCACCCGCCACTTCCGATGATGGCGGGGGGCAGGCCCGCCGCAGGCACACCCGCAAGTCTGCTGCTCCCCGCAAGTCTGAGGTGGAAGGGCACACTGTGGCCACAAGCAGCGAGTCAACCGATGCCGCAGCGGCTCCCGCCGCCGGCACCAGGGCCAGGGCGGCAGCAGCAGCCAGCATGCCGCCAGCTGCGGGCGCCGCCACTGGGCTGGCCGCCAGCAGGGCCGCCGCTCGACAGAAGCTGGCAGCCTGCAAGGCGCCTGCTGCTGCTGAGAGGAAGGGCGTGGGTGCAGCCACTGCGGAGCCGCAGCCGCCGCCGCTGCCGCCTGCCCCAGCAAAGCAGCGCAGGCCTGCAGGCCGCCAGGCCCCGGCCCCAGCGCCGCCTGCTGCTGCCGCAGCACCTGCTGCAGCTGCGTCCCGCCAGAAGGCGGCGGAGGCCCCAGCAGCCAGCAAGCAGGCAGCACCTACCAAGAAGGTATGCAACCTCACTCCATGCTGGCGGCTGCGTGCTTCTGTGGCAGACCTCACACGCATACCTTGTGAAGGGCCGCAGCCAACTGCCAAGCATACACTCACATGTCGTCTGCCCTCCCTCTGCCCTGCCCCAACTGCAGCGGGCCGCCCTGCCGGCCATGCAGCCGGCGGCAGCGGAGGAGCCGCCTGCCAAGAAACGGCGGGTGGGCGCCGCTGGGAGCAGGGCAGCCCGCCCGCAGCTGCAGGGCAAGGAAGAGAAGCAGCAGGAGCAGCAGGAGAAGGGTGGCCAGGCTGGCGCCGCCATCAAAGCAGCAGCGCCGCCTGCCCCTGCCGCTGCTGCCGCGGCTGCTGCTGCCGCTGCCGCTCCTGCGCCGCCGGCGGCGGCTGCGGCAGGTGCCGGCATGGGGCGCCAGCGCGCGGCAGCTGTTGCAGCGGCAGCCGGCATCAAGGCGTGCGCGGCTGCTGAGGGGTCGCCCGCCCCGCGCGCCACGCAGCCCGCGGCGACAACCGAGGGCCAGCGGCGCGGCAGGGCGGCAGCGCCCGCTGAGTCAGAGGATGAGTCGGCGGAGGAGGCGGCGGCGGGGGGCAGCAGGGGCCGCAGCCGGGGCGAGAAGCAGCCCCCAGGCCAGAAACAGCGCGGGAGGGGGCGCTCTGCGGGGTACCGCAAGGACCCTGCCAAGGTGGCAGCCGCGATCCTCAGCAGGCAGCGGGTGGTGAGTGGTCGGGCGTCGGGCTTGGGGCCTGCTGGCGAGGGCCGGCCTGCCCGCTTGCTTGGCACATTCCTTGTGCCGCTGTGCCTCCTGCCCTCCCTCACCCTTACCGGCCTCCCCCTCCGCCTGCCTCCCGCCCCTGCCTGCAGCCGGGCCAGCTGACCCGCGTGCAGCGCTTTGCCCTCCAGATCCAGGCGCACATCGGCAGCCGCAGCGGTGGGTGGCGGCAGGGCTGGGGTGGGGGCAGGAGAGCAGCAGGCACTGCCTGATCAGCCTGCTGCGCTATGTGCTGAGCTACAGTGTCTGTTCCGCACGCGCATGCCGGCCCACACCCCTCCTCACCTGCTGCCATGTCGGCCCCTGGTCCCCTCCTGCTGTCCCCGCTCCCCAACTCCCCGCTCCGCTCCGCCGCCTGCATGCCGCCATCTGCCTCTGCCGGCTGCAGATGTGCGGGAGGGCGAGGTGCGACGCACGTTTGGCAACAACCCAGATGTGTCCAAGGCGCTGCGCGTGCTGGCGGAGCAGGGTGAGCAGCGGTGGCGGCGTGGGGAGAGTATCCTGCCCCCCGGCTGGGACCAGCAGGCGCAGCAGGCCCAGCAGGCCAGGGCCACCCCAATCTCCTGTTGTTGAGATCAGGAGTGTGCTGAGGCGGCGGGAGGCAGGCCCCATGCTGGCAGCACTACTGGCATGATATCCCCCCCGGCTTTCCTGCCGCCCGTCAGCCGGCTTTCCTGCATCTTCCCCTGGCTGCGCTGGCATGCAGGCATGCTGGTGCGCAGCGGCGAGGGCGGGCGCGGCACCCCCTTCTCCTACACATCCACCGCCAAGGGGCGCGGCGGCGTGGCAGATGCACTCCGCAAGCTGGCAGAAGATGCGGAGCTGATTCGGCGGGGCAAGTCGGCCGCCGAGGCCGTGCAGGCTGGCGGCGGCGGGGGGGGCGCGGCACAGGCGGCGCCAGCCGGTGGCGGCGGCGAGGGCCCCGGCGAGCAGCGGGAGCAGGCGGCGGCTGCCGGCGCCGAAGGGGCGAGCGCCTAGTGGCTTCGTGGCTGCTGTCCACAAGCCAACACCGAGATCATTTCCTCTTCTGTATGTATGCATGCGTCAAGTAGCCACCCAGTTCAGGAAACATTCCAACTGGAATGAACCAGGACGCGCGCTCCCCCTGCGGGCGGGCCCGCCACCCTGTTTGGGCTGGACCGCAGGAAGGGCGGGAGGGAGAGGGACCGGTCAACAAGGTGTGCGACAGGATTATGCACCTCCCCACAGAGGTTGACATAAACTCAGCCCTCGACTCGTGCAAGGCGGATGCTGCAGGGTAGCTGCGACCTGGCCCCCCCTATTTATCTGGGTCGGGAGGCTTTATTCAGCCATCCAAACCTCCCAGACAACCACAGTCTCCCAACAAAACCAAAATGATGCGCCTCAGCCTCTCCTTCGCCCTCCTGCTCGTCTGCGCAGTTGGTGAGTCAAGCTGCAGGGTCGTGCAACCCTCTCTGGTGCATGCAACAGATTAAAACAGCACACTGTCCGGATTGAAGGCCTCAAAGGGCTGGAAAAGGCAGCCGCCGCCTGCACACATCTCCAGGACCCCATCCCGCCGCCTCCTCGCCAAACTCCTCATTGCGGTGGCTGCCGCGTATGTACTGACAGCTCCTGCGAAATACTTGAGCGCCGCACCGCCCCAGGCCGCAGTGGTAGTGTTGTGTTCCCGCCGTCCCGCCCGACCCACCGCCGCTCTCCCCGCCGTGCAGGAGCGCGCGCCTGCCAAAACGGCCAGGGCAACTGCCAATGGTGCAACACAGACCTCCCCGATGCCTGCTTCGAGTGTTTCGAAGGTTACAAGCTTGACAAGAAGCTGAAGTGCGTCAAGGTGCGGTGGGCATGCCCAGTGTGGGCCTGCCGCGGACCAAGCGCTCAGCCCTGCAAATCGCCGCTCACGGTCCCATTGCCTGCCTGCCTCTTCTTCTTCATTCAGGAGCGCAAGTGCGTCGCCAACCTGGACGGTTGCAAGCGGTGCAACGCCACCGTGCCCTCGCAGTGCAGCGTGTGCAACGTGGGCTGGGCGCTGTCGCCCGCCGGCCTCTGCATCAAGGTGAGCACAGCCGGCTGGCGGGCGTGCAGGGGCGGCCTCATCCAGCCCGCATGCCAGCTTCAGCTGCACACGGCACAGGCCCGGGAGCAGCACACCCACCGCCGCCTGCCACCCCTGCGCTGTGCAGTGCACCGCCGGCCCCTACTGCACCGCCTGCGCCGCCAACAAGCCCTCGATCTGCCGCAAGTGCTCCAAGCCCGGCAGCCCCATTGGCATGTACCCCAACGCAGCGGGCAAGTGCACCAAGGTGAGGCTGCGGGGTGGCTGTCCGACTGCGGCGGTGCAAGGCTCTGGTGCTGCGAAGATGTGGACGTGGTGTCGCCCCGGCTCACACGCCGCCTCACCTGCGCGCCCTCCCTGTTTCGCAGTGCGAGCTGGCAAACTGCGCCAAGTGCACTCGTGTGGGAGCCTTTGCCCCGCGCAAGTCCAAGTGCACGCAGTGCATCAAGGGCTACAAGCTGGTAGACAAGAAGGGGCAGCCAGGTGGGGCGGGCACTGCCATTAGTAGATGGTGCCCCTGGCAATGCCAACTGGGTGCAGCCACAATATGCCGCTACCTCTAGCCGCTCACCCTCCTGTTTCGTTGTCCCTGTTCGCGGCAGAGACCTGCCGCAAGCTCTGACCTCACACTCGCATCTGAGGATGGAGCATTGGAGCTGTGTGGCACCGGCCATCCCCTCAGGCAGCATCTGACAGCAACTGACAACAACGCAACGGCTACAGACCAGCACTCGCACACTCGTGCCCACCCCTTCTCTTCTAATGATATTCTTTTTAGCGCAGCAGCATCAGAACAGATGAGCACTTGCACAGAACTTGTAACCATCCTGCCACTCCTCAGCGCAAATAGCGTCAGCTGTTACAGACAGAGAAGGGCTAGTGTCAAGCCAGGAGACGTCCAACGCACGCATCTCAACGCAACAACGCTGCAGGAGTGCACCAGCATCGCAGCAACCCCACTCCCCAGCCGAGGCTGCCCTGCTCTGCGGCCTCGCGCGCATCTGTGGCAGCGACCGCCAGCAGGCTCACGCCCAGAACTTGGGCTTGCGCTTGGGCAGCAGGTCGGCGACATCGATGTCATTGATCTGCGCACACCAGGCGGCGGCAGCATGCCGGCGTTGCTTTCTTGCTGCCTTTCTTGCTTCGGGGCAAAGCCGGCCCGCCGCTGCCTCTGCCCACCACCCCTGCCCTCTCACCCGGCCCAGCCACCAGCCCTGCCCACCAACCATGCCACACCAGCCCAGCCACCCCCTGCCAGGGGCCCGCCCCGCCAGCGACGCCCATGCCCACCGCCCATGCCCCACCTTGGCCGCCATGATGAAATCGTTCTCAGTGAGGCCCTTGGCGGCGTGCGTTGTCATCTCCGCAGTAACAGTCCGGTAGTCGGTGAGGTGGAGGTCGGGGTGGTGGCCCTGCTCCTCCGCAACCACCGCTATCCTGCGGGCAGGCGGGCGGGGAGGCGGGGAGGCGCAGGCACGTGGCGCTCGTGCGCAGCGCCGCTGCGGGCTTGGATGCTGCTGCGCCATCATCCTACGCCCCCACCCCTGGCCCCACGCCGCCCCACCCATTGCAGGTCCAAGCGCCACTGATCCCTCTCTGAGGCCGCCCGGGGCCGCAGCCGCCCCTGCCCGCAGGCCCCCTGCCCGCAGCCGCGCCAGCCCTGCCCGCGGGCCGCACCTCTGGAACAGGTCCAGCCCGGCGTTGAAGTTGCGCACTTTCCACTCATGGCTGATGCAGTCCACCCCCTCCCGGTTCTTCACCACCCGCCAGCCGGGGCACTGCGCAGGGGCGGGGGCGGCGGCGGGGCGGGGTGGGGCAGGGGACAGGCAGGCCAAGGCAGGCAGGCAGGCAGGCGAGGCAGCGGCGCCGTTGCCGTCAAGCCGGCGACCCAGGCAGGAGCCCGGCCGCCCCCGCCGCATGAGCCAGCTAGCAGTAGCCAGCCACCAGCGCGCTGCGCCATGCCAGCAAGCAACGCGCAAGCAGCACTGCAGAGAGGAGGGGGAGGCGGGAGGGCCAGCAGCCAACCCAAAACTATTGAAAGCCCCCGGCCGGGACCCACCCCACTCACGCACGCACCTGCTTGGCGAGGCGGTTGACCTCCGTCTCGGGCAGCGGCTGCGCGCCGCCCTCGCACGGCACGCACTTCTTGGCCTTGAGGCCCATGATCTCCGCCATGGCCTCGGGAGGCCTGCAACGGGCAGGCGGGGCAGGTGGGGCAGGGTCAGGGCAGGGTCGGGCGCGCGGGCCGGCATGGGGCGGGTGCGGCGTCCCGGCCGCTGCCGTCGGCGCTCCACAGCGAGCCGCCAGCGCAGAGCAGAGCAGCGCAGAGCAGAGCTATAGCTGCAGGTCGCGCCGAGCCAAAGAAGCCAGAACGAGGAAGAAAGGGGTGGCAGCGGGCTGGGGAGCATGGCTATTGCCAGCTGGCCAGGCGTGTGGGCGGTGTGCGGCGTGCGCCGCTCACTTGATGACGTGCTCGGTGTCGTAGTTGCCCAGCACCTTGTCGCCAAAGTTGCTGCCAATCTCTCCGGCGGTGGGGTCGCGCGCGCCAAAGTTCTGCACAGCGCGCACAGCGGAGAGGCGGGGCAGACGAGGGGGCGGTGACGACGCCTGGTCAGCGCGGCAGGCAGGGCAGGCCAGGGCCCCTGGCGGCACGCAGCCGCTGTGCAGCGGGGGGCAGCCCGCCGGCAGCAGGGCGGGCAGCAGGGGAGCGTGCGGCGCGCAGCGCGCGCGCGCGGCAGCGGCAGCGGCGACGGCAGCACACCTCTCCCATCAGCGAGCGCTCCACGTGGGGGTCCACGCCCGCGCACACCTGCAGGGTGCCGCGCCGCGCGGCGATCCCACGCCGCTGCGCCGCCGCGCCGACCTTCTGGGGCGGGGCAGGCGAGAGGGGGGTGGCGGGCAGGGGGAGCGGCTGGGTGGGCACGAGGGAACGGGAGCAAAGGCAAGGGATGGAGGTGCCCCTTGCCAGCAGCAGCCGCTTGTACCAACGCCTGTGGTCACAGGCACAGGGCTACGGGCGGAGTGCGAACCCTCCGGAGGCGGCTGCAAAGCCGCTAGGTTGCGGCAGCGCCGCCCTGGCGGGCTGGGCTGTCGACGCTGCTGCAGCAGCGCACCTTGAGCACGCCCAGTTGCTGGCTCAGCCGTGCAGGTCCTGCACACAAGGACAGGGGGAGGCGCAGTGCCCATCTCGGCGGGCCATATGTTCCGCAGCCCGCGGCGCCAAACTGCATGCCTTACCCGCCGCAAGTTGCATGCTATGTTGAGCTCCGAAAGGCAGCAGCGGGCGAGCGCGGGAAGAAGGTGAATGGTGCTTGGAGAGCGCCTGCACGCTCTGCAGACGTCAGACGACAATCGGGCGAGTCGCAGAGGCAGCCCGCAGCGTGGGCGATCGGCTGGGCTTACGGTACGGGACGTACTTCAGCTGAGGCAGAAGAGGGCCATCGGAGGCCCCCCGCGTCGTGCATTGGGCAGCTACACGCTTGCAGCAGCTGGTTGTGGCGGCAAAACGCTTTGTAGCGCGTGAACCAGAGGCCCAGCTCTAGCAGGCAGCATGCAGGCCCAGACAGTGCGGGCCTTCAAGGCCACGGTTATGGCACCCACCAGGTGCGCGGACAAGCGGGAAGGCGGCCGCCACTGCACTGCATGGCGACGGCAGGCATCGTCTGCTGTGGGCCTCGCGCATTGGCCGTCCCCTGACGCCAATCGCCCCAGACCTCCACCCAGCGCTCCATTTGTGGCGCACGTCTGTTCCCGCCGCCCCGCGACGGCGGGCGCCCCTCCGCCTCGCCCGCTGCTCCGCTTACCACCCTGCTCCCTTCTGTGGTTGCAGGGTGACCGTGCCTCGCACGCAGCGCGTGGCCACCCTCCGCAGCAGCCGCCCTGCTCAGCTTCAAAGCGAGTTCTTGGCGCCGGTGGCGGCCATCAAGGGCCTGTGCGCCTCTTTCGCACGTGAGCTGAGCGTCGGGGGAGGAGGGCTGCTGCTCCCTGCACCCAGCCAGCTCTCTGGTTCGACTTCTGGGCAACAGCTGGACCCACAGATGGATGGGAGCAGTGCTGGCTGGGCGGTGGCACCAGGCGCACCTCGGCGCACCCCATGCGGCCAGCGGTGGCAGCCTTGCGCGCCGGCGGCAACCCCGCCCGCTGAGCCCCCCTGCCTCGCCTGCTGCAGAGATGGTCCTTGGCGCGGCGTCGCGGCTGTCGCAGGCGGGCCGCAGTGGCCTGCTGGTGGAGTGCAACAACAAGAAGGGCCTGGGCGTGACCCTGCGCGGCACCCGGCGGTGAGCTGCGGCTGCGGCCGCCCGCCGACATCCTCGCCTGCTGCAGCTCTCTCTCGACAGTGCCGTGCCCCTGCCACGCTGGATCGACCCGCCTCATTGCATGCTGCTCGCCTGCCTACTGCGCGTTGCAGGAAGCGGGCCCGCGTGAGCGGCTTCCGCGCCCGCATGGCCACCCCCGCCGGGCGCCGGGTGCTGGCTGCCCGCCGCAAGAAGTGCCGCAAGACGCTGGTGCCCGCCTTGGTCCCCAAGCGCAAGATGTGAGGCGGCTAGCAGCAGCAGCGGGTGGCTCTGGCGTGGCCGCCTGTGACTGCTGCCCATGGGCAGCCCCCGGCCAGGCAGGCGCCCCTCGCACACCCACCTGCAAGCGGCAGCCGACCCTCCCTTCCAGTTTTCCTTGCTCCCTTCGCCTGTGCTGTTAACTACCCCTTGAGTGTAAGCACACCATTGACTGTGGGCAGGCAAGGAACAAGAGGGAGCGGGGCAACGGGCTCTGCGCCTGCGCCTCCTTGCTGGGCCCCCCGCGTTCTATCCGCCATGTCAGGCACAAGGGCGCAACCTCATGGGCGCCGTCGCCAGCCTCCCCCGCAGACTCTGGCAAGAGAGGGCGGTATTACCAGCGATCAGGAGTCTGAAGTCAGTCTGTCTGGAGAGGCCACCCCTCCAGGACCTCCAGCGCCGTCTCTTCCCCCGGCCTGGCATGCATGGGGCACGCCTGACAAGCGAGTGAAGTCCAGCAGAGTGCCAATCCTCGCCGGAGGCTTAGGCAACTCATCCCATCCGGCGGAGCAGGCAGCTGAGGGCGCAATGCGGAGCCACGCAGGCGGCAGGGAGCCAGCCCCTCCAGCAGGAGGCGGCACGCGGGGCGCTGGAGGGGCCTCCGCCGCGGCGGCCGACCTGCCGCTGCTGCCACTGTTCAACGCGGTGCTCCTGCCGGGCGGCGTGGTGCGCGTGACCATCCCCGCGGGCTGGCGCAAGAGCGCCGCACTGGTCAAGCTGCTGCTGCAGAAGCAGGGCGGCGAGGTGCTGGTGGCGGCCGTGCCTTACCTGACGCCCGGCGGCAAGGGCGTGACAAACCTGGTGGCGGCGCCCACGGCCGCGTCGAGCGGCGGCGGCGGCGCCGGCAGCGGCGGCGAGGAGGGCGAGAGCTCCGGGGACGAGCATCTGGACCTGGACCGCCTGCACCACACCGGCACCGCCGCACGGGTGCTGCAGATGGTGCGGCGCACGCAGGTGAGGCGGCAGGCTGGGCGGCGCCGTGGGCCGGCGGGCGGCGCAGGCGCCGCGCCGCTTGCGCTGCCTGCGCCGCAGGCTGCGCCGCCCCAGCTCTCCAGCGTTGGGGTGCAGCAGCTCACGCAGGCTCATCCTCTGCGACTCTCCACCCCTGCTCGCTCGCCTGCCGCATCCCTCGCCTCGCCTCCCGCCACACCATCCCTCCCCTCGCCTCCCCACCCCCGCCCCGCCACCCCCGTGCAGTCTGGCGGGTGGACGGTGACGCTGGAGGGGCGGTGCCGCGTGCGCGTGCGCTCCGTGCACCTGTGCAGCCGGCCGCCGCAGGACCATTACGAGGCATCGGTCCAGCAGCTGGACTACTTTGCAGGGGCGGGCAGCGCGGCCGGCAGCGCCGCCAGCAGCGCGGACGCGGCCAAGGAGCAGGAGGAGCTGACGCTGCAGCTGCTCAAGGTACCGGTGAAAATCCAGCGGGCAGCTGGCGGGCAGCTGGCGGGCAGCCAGCCGCGGCCTGCCCCGCCGCCTGGCTGCT